AAGCGGAGATGGTTGAAACGACAAAGTTGGTCAACCTGCAGACTGACCATGTGTGGATTGCCATCATGGAAAAGGAACATGATTCGTGACATGGCTTCATAGATCTGTTCATCAGCTTCACACCGTGCAATTCTCAATTCAGCGTGCGTTCCAAAACCACCATCGAGCTTGGACACAGAATGACACCCCTGAGATCCCACCTGAGATTTCACAGATGTTTTTTCGTGTTCAGGCCATCGCCAGGCGGAAACGAGAACACGTGTGGTGAAACGAGTACTGTTCAGGACTGGTCACGTGAAGCAGATTCCAATGGGTTTTCTGGGACAAACTGGCTTGATGCAGCCCATGCGAATCACATGGCATGTGAATCAAGTGCACCTGAAGCATGCTTCAAGAAAGATGCAAGCCAGTACAGCTGCAGTTCTTCAAAACATTTTAATCCAACGGCTTGGCTGCGGCAAAGTATTCTTCAGATCGTCATTTCGGCATATCTCGGCAGCCTACAACAACTAACTTCAGATGACCGCGCCCAACCCCAGCAACCCCAGTTCTCAATGCCCAGGGCACAAGTGCTTCATGGCTGCTGTCATTGGGTGGCGCACCTCACCATGGATTGGTTCAAGTCATTGGAGCCCAATGAGCCGCAGATCTGTTCCCACTGAGATGATCCCCGAGAGGATTGGAGATTTAGGGCCCCACGAACACCGCGATCCGAATCAACTCTGGCATCCAGGGATCCTGACAAGCCTTCCTCCTGGAGCGAGAATTGTTCAAAAAAATCATCCGGAAATTCAAGCAAAAGAGACTACATTATAATCCTAAATGCCCTAAATCATCATCAACATTATCACCAGAAAATCACACCCTTTCTCGATCATGCGGAAAAAAAGAAAAATCCAAGACTCAATAAGATTTGCAGGTCTCAGATCATGTCACACTTCCGCAGAAGCGTAGTACCTTTGTGGGGCCTTGTGTTTCTTGTCTCAAGTTTGGAGGATCAAATTTGATGGTGGGTTAGATAGCTGAAGCGTCGCCACTGCACAACCACCAAAGAAACAAAACATGCTTGTGCACTGAACCGGGTGCAGAAGTCAAGAGCACAATTTGAGTTTGAAGCGTACTCTGGATTCTAGATCTATACCTACGCACTTCAACGCCTAATCATCACCTCATTATTTGTATCTACTAGTACACACGTTGCACAAACTTGCCAGGGAAGATGCTCTGACTGAACCCGAACAAAATTCTTCAGGAGCAGATTGAAGTTATCAGATCAATGTCCAAGTCATCTTTCTCCAGCCATTAGAAATTGAGGCAGTTTCAACTCCAAAAACCTACTGTGGAAGCTTTCTCCTGCATGGCAGGTGGTTCGCCACACCCCGCCTCCACAAGTCCGCAACCGGTCGGGAGCGTACTTCAAGGCCAAGTCGAATGCTGTCATGTCACCTGGTTGGAGTTGGGTGGATCCATACTTGGTCAAATCCCACATGAGCCGTGGTCAAAATGCCTGTGTTCTAAAGTTCACACGGCTTTCGCGTTATCACGGTAAGATAACCCTCTCATAAATTGGTCTCGGGGGGATTTTGAACGCCACAGACCCATATTGGTCGGTTTCGCCCACCATATTTCAAGGGGCCGTAATCGGTCAAACATTTGAAATCCAGGCTATCCGGCAGATGATTTATGGCATTTTTGGTGCCCAACCTGGGAGAATTTCACAGTGCTATGTTTGATAGCCACTTGGCACCCTCCTTCCACTGGTGGATCAACAATGTGAGGTCAATTCACCCTGGTCCCCTAGTTATCCTAGTTGTCATCTCAACATAGCTACAGTATAGCTGGATGTTCATCCATTGAAATACGAGGTCTGATTATGTTCTACCCTCTGGTAAATTAACATAGACCCTGCAAGATAGGGGTTGGAAGATTAGTTTCCATTAAAAAATTGTAATTTTCAGGGTCTATGTGAATTTACCAGAGGATAATTCTTTTGTGATCTTTCATATGACTGGGCCCGAAGGTTTGCCAAGCACAAAAAACTCCGGCCTTCTAAACATCTTGCAGCAATCTGTGTGTTTCAGGAGGCTCAGGGCCAAGCTCCATCTCACCCTGGCTCGGCGTTGATCCAACTTGTGAGACACTTGAAAAGATTGAAAAGATGAGGCGGAAAATCATTGCAGAGTTGGATTCTGTTGGATTGTTAAACATGTTCGCTGCAACCGGGACGTTTGCCCGGAGTTGATGTCCCGCAATCAACGTATTGTTCAGAGGGGGTGGCTAATTTTGATCCCTCATGAAGATAAAGTTGATGTTAGCCCGTTCAGCATATTGGTCATAGGGGGTGGCGGATTTTGTTCCCTCATGAAGATAATGTTGATGTAATTACCCGATTCAACATGTTGGCAATAGAGGTTGGCGTGTTGTTAGCCCGTTCAGCATATTGGTCGTAGGGGGTGGCGGATTTTGATCCCTCATGATGATCAGGTGATTGTTTCCTCATGAAGATAACTGTATTCAAGGTATCTTTCACATGCCACCGTGGCCTAATTTTCCCCCTTGGCCTTGCTTGGATTCGCAACTTCCCAGCAACACAGAATTGTCTGTTATGTCACAATGATAAGTCTGGGCGAACGTTAAGGTTGCGGACAACATGTTAAACTCTTGGAACTCAGCATTTTGGGCTGCAAAAACAACCCGTCGCGCCGTTTTCCGTACGTGCGTTTTGCACAATTTCATCATCATCAGGTCCACTTAAAGTTCATTTCGTGTGGGAGGCATTAAGCGTTTTTTGTTCAGCATGCGCAAAATGATGTGGAAATTGGCTGGTGTTTTTGGAAAAAAAACATATTTCGCTTGTGTTTTCATGCAATTTTGACCGAGAATTATGTGAAATTTAACATCGTTTGGAATAGGCTCTGCCCGCATAATATGTGTCATCGCATCAAAATAGGAAAGAGAAAACGTGGCCTGCGTGGCATATTCATCATCATGTTTGTCCAAAATTTGTCGAAATCAGTACGCATTTAGAGTGGTTTTACTTGTTTTCCTTCTCGCTGTGGTGCCGTACATGTATTTCTTCAAAGTGCTGTTTTCCCAATGACAGCCATCACAACACAGTCTGCGCACTTTGTTTTCTTCTTCACTTTCGCAGCATCCACTGCGTGCCAGCAAGTGCGTGAGACGGTGCTAGCGTAGCATGCCGTCATAGAAGAAAGATGATCAACTAGAGACAGACACCAAGAACGTTATTACACCCCCCACCCCCCCAAACCCCCCCATATGAGAAACGTCAAAAACCTGCATTTTACTAGTACGGTTTTCGGCGCGTAGGCGCAAAAACAACCAGATGCAACAAAAGGCACCAAATCAGTGGCTCAACACTCCGATGTCGCCTCTGGGACTGCGCCAGCTGGTGCTCTGTTTGGGCCTGGAGCGAAAGAGAACTGTGCGCCAGAAGTGCTAAGCGCCGTTGAAGCTGTTGTTTTCACCACATTCACCACTATCGGATGATGAAAAGTTCAAGAATCTCATTACGGACAAGGCCACACGGCCCGCGATCCTGCCCTTCTAAGCACAGTGTTGGCCGAATTCTTCGGTTAGCGGGCAAGACTTTTCTGGAAATAAAGCGGATGAAAGAAGCTGATGACAGGCGAAGCCTGAGCAGGCTTAGGTTTCTTCGTCTTCTGGAGCTGCTATAGGACTCTTCTCTGCATCCCTCTCTTTCATCCTGCATTGAAGAGCTGCAAAAATGACGCAATTTGTGGAGTGAAATTTCAAGCCCGTTCTACCTGGAAACTTCAAGTATCTTGAAAGTATCTTGAAGTTAGCAGAATGAAACTTGCGCATTTTGTCAGTCAAGTCCTGACACTGTCTAGCTTCTCTACTGGTAGCTTCAAGTGGCAAGCAGCTCGTAGTGTCTTTGCTCCGGCTGCCCCTGATAGCAAGAAATACTAAATAGCAAGTCTGTTTGGAACCCACCCGGACCCACCCAAATGATTATCACATCATTACAACTATTGTTGAGAAAAGTTTTCTCAAAATCATCTTTCCTTGTCTTTCCAGATGCCCTGAGAACCGTTCTGCGAAAGGCGTCTATGGCACTGCACCTCGAGGATTGGCATGACATCGTCCCCTGAATCGAAGACTTCAGCATCTTGAGGGCCTAGAGATTTGCAACGAGTTGAGCCTAGCAGTCCTATAGCTCCTGCATGCGACTGCTCCTATCACTGAGTAGTGGTTTCAGTGCAGCATGTTCAGGTGCCAATCCGTGTCTGATGTCTCTTCGTGCCAAGCGCTTCACTCCACCATTGGATTAAGTGTCTTGCCAGAATACTTCTGCAGATGTTCCTCAATTTCTGGCAAAAGTCATTCTCCTCCGCCTTGGCAAAGGAATGTATATACAATGTCAAACAAGTGGCCAAACTCTCCAAGGAACAACAAGTTGTAAGGAGGCAACATTAGGCAATATGAGGCAACAGACTGACTTTTGTTAGGTGAAGACAACAAATCTGGTCATGAACAGAATGTCATTCGCACTTCGTTGACTCGAACAGCAGGAATTTCCCGGCTTCAAAGCGTTACAAATCATACAGCCAACGGTTGACTTAAACACATGCAGTCCATGAATACGCCTCTGGCCTCGCCCAGTCTTTGCCACCCATGTCTTGTCCGTGGGCCTCCAGGAGTGTTGAAGACTGGCAAAAACACAGGCGGAAAAAAAACGACCTGTTCACTCTCACAGCTCTGCAAGTTACTGGCCACAAGGAGCCACTTCTCCGTCATGTCTTCCATATCTCCCATGTCTGCCAAGTCCTCCTCTCTTGTACAACACGTATCAAGAGGTATCCCAGTGCATCCAACCTTACAGTAATATACATATATATAATATACAGTATAATCATGTGTATATCATGAGTCATGAAATGTCACAAAGGAATATTAAAGGAATAAAATATCAGGCTGAAGTGCAGGCAGCCCTTCACCCAATTCACCCAACAAGCTCCTTTTGCCTCCGGGCACCGAATGCCAGGTGAACTTCCAGCACTGCGAAGTGTGACGCCACTTGCTCCGAACTGATCGCGCAAGTTCTATGGCTCGTTCTGGAAAATTCGGCGCCAGACGGAAGCCGCGATGTTCCAGCTGCCCCGTTTGGGGTCTGGAAAGATTCAACAAAAAGATTCAAGAACTAAGGTAACTAAGGATTCAAAATTTTAATGCAGCCAACACTGCACATTTAGTGGATGGAAGTGCTGCGATCACATTCTGTGCCTCTGCCACTCACTGGTATAACTGCCAGATGTCGACACACTACTTGGACTCATGCTCCCTCCGTTACATGTTTCTTTCGGCAGGGCCTTCACTTCCTCCAAAGTGCGAGTGAGGCCTTGAGGGTCTTGCGTGTTGAAGTCATCGTTGTAGTACAGCACCAAGGCCTCATTCTCCTCATCCGAGCTGGTCGCACCAAGGAAGGGTTCTCCGTGGTCGCCGCGGTCATCTGAAATCTCCAAGCGCTGACGCTCCACACGGTGCGTTCTGAGGCAAACGACGGCAAACACGGCGTTAAAGAATGCAAAGAGCGCACCTTGGTTGCAGGGCGCTGGCCCCAAACAAGATGATGGTCCATGTGGCGCCATTGAGATCTACATCAATACAAGGTTGGAAATAAGCTGCTTAAGCTGCCCAAGAAGGGTTTACAGCCTGAAGATTTCCTCGTTCTCGTTGGATATCCCTTTGATACAAAACCAAAATAAACCAAATACGCTGAGTAATATTGCTTGATAGATTCATCCTCATCATCCTCCAAATATTCCAAGTCCCAACCAACGATCGCCGGCTAGGGAACCTCCCTTTTGCACCTTGATTCAAGCTGAGAAGCCAAATGTAAAGCCCACTGCGGTTTTGGCATCGTGATGCACGAAGCAATTTCCCAGCACCATGAGAAGCAGGAAAGCCCAACAAATGAGGACGTACCAGTCTAACAGCGTGTTGTAGCTTATCCTTGGCACCTGACGCGGGCGAACATTTTAGTTTTCTTCAAATGGACCTAGGGCCCAGAGGGCAAATTCGGCAAATCAAGATTGTAAATGATCCTGAGATATACAGATATTACAGATCATTTACAGGATCGTACAATATATTACAATATTTTTAATATGATCCTGTAATAATCTGTAAATCATCATCATTGTCAGATATTCTAAGATATACAGATCATCTCAGATGATCTCAGTCGAGGCACCATCTCGGCCACAAGGTACTTATAGGCCACTGCCGTCAGCAGTAACGTTAAGGTTGCACCAAGCCGTCCACCCATATCCTCAAAAACAGCAAGCGAAGAGATGCTCGCGAAGACAATGGAGGCGACGGGTAAAACCACATTCAGCAAATAAAACCTGGCGTTTCTTCAACGGCTGTATTTGGAGGTTTCCTGAGTCATGGGGGTACCCCCCAGTTATCATCCATGTTTAAGGATTTTCATGGATTTTCCATTATAAACCATCCATTCTTGGGGACCCCCATTTAAGGACCCCCCCGGTGTGGACCCTGATTCCTTTTTACAAATGATTCCAGACCCCAAGCTTGCGCAAACCTTTCAGGCGCCCCTGAAGCCACATCAAGTTGTCTCCAAAATCACAGACATCCAAAATCACAGACTACAAAAAGCAGGTGTCTGTGCCGAGCATCTTGGGTTTTCGGCCCACCTGACAGCGAATCCAAATGAGGGGAAACTGATCTGGTATTTCTGGCTCCTCCGGCGTGGGCTTCCAATTTTCATCGATCTTGGTGAAGCCAAATCTGACATCAACGGCCTTTGGCTCGGTCCATGCGTTCTTCAAGCAGAAGATGTTCACGAACACCTGAAGAGGTCTTCAGGTTGCATAGCTCGCATAGCTTGCATAGCTTGCATTCAAAACATTCAAAACATGGGGCTCAGCTTTACTTAAGGCATCTTGAGGCGGGGTAGGTGACGAAAGCTAGCTTGGCAGGGAGCTTGGCATGAAAACACCCAGTATACTCGCAAACTCATCTGTCTACAGCAAGAGGGACTTCAGCTAGCAGAAGCTCGTTTTCGTATGTTTTCGTGATATCTGGCATACCTGAGAATACAAAGGCTGCATACCATCTCTAAGAATCACCTTTTGACACCTTCCATAAAGACCTCATAGATCTCAACCATTCAGACCATTCATGTGTAAGATGGTGTAATATGATACAGGCTGTCCCGGCAAGTCTCGCTGGACATTTCGCCCTGCGCGAGAGCCTCATATGGGATAGCATCAAAAGCCTGCCATCAAACCTACAAGATCCTACAAGGACCAGTTCATGTTGAGTCTATGATGTTTTTGGATGTTTTTGGATGTTTTTGGTATTTTTTGTTTATTTTTGTTCCCCTTCAAGTCCACACCTTGGATTTGCGAGAGTCGACGAAGCGCACCTGTACCTCCTTGCGGTCTTTGCAAGGCCTCGGCCGGATCCCCACCCAGCAACTCCCTGACAAGCCGACAGTGCGGGTGAACATGCGTGGTCCGAAATGAAAAGTTTCAGGAAACTGACTTGGTCTGGGCTGAGGGACCATCCAAAGCGGAGCATGACAGAGAGGTCCTGGGTGTCGAATGGGAAGTTTTGCAGCTCCAACTCTTCCCCAAACTCACCATGGATGAGCCACACAAATCTCCAGTTCTTTTTGTCATCCTGTGTCGGAAATTCGTCATCCTTCGGCTTCGCTAAGCTATTCTCCACGGTGGCCCTTGTGAAGAATTTCAGGACATCTTCCTCATCACGCTCGCGCACTTTTTGGGGATGTAGCAACGTAGCTTCCACGAAGATTTGGGCTTTGAAGCTTTCTTTTTGTTGATCGATGGCCAACAACTTGTCCCAGTTGACGCGGACCCCAAAGTAGTAGACTCGCATCTTGGGCTGCAATAGAGCTCTTGAAGGAGCTTTCTATCTAATGGCTGTACAGTAATGGCTGAAAGGCCGGCTTTATCGCAAGCATGTTTCAACTAAAATGTCATGGTTCAGAAGCTCAAAAACGATCAGCAAAGCCATTTTGGGGGGACATGCAGTTTTCTGGACGACACTTCCCAGGCATTCCAGCCTGCCGTCATGAAGGCGGCAGGGAAGCCCGCAGTGGCCGGCAATATATGCTATTCTGCTTGGTATGGGCGGAGTCTTTGGAGTTTTTGGGCTAGAAATGGCTATTCAAATGGCTATTCAAACCATTGTTATTACATTCATCTTTAGCCTCAAACCATCCAAGTTTGGGGAATATTAGGGAGTTCAAATTGCACAATGGGGATGGTGTTATACCTGTGCAGTGCTCTTGTAGATGTGTTCAAGATGTTTAAGCACATTGCAATGCCTTCTCAATTGCTCATTCGCCAACTATTGGCTTCTCACTTCTTCGTTCTTGCTACCAGTAGCAAGTATATCAATCATAGTTTCCGATCCACACTTTGATTTTGCAGAATACGAGAATACCACATTTTGAGAGAAACCCATCATATGATTCCAAGCATGCACAAATCCACACTTTCCTCAGGATGTTCAAAACATTCAAATCTAGATCTAGATGAGACCCTGCCATGCTCTCATGTTTTTGTTTTTCTTTTGGCCCAAAGAAATCATTGGTTTCTTGGCTTGGCCAACGTGCTCTTTGGACCGGGGTGAAACATGGCAGCAGCTGTGGGGCAATCGTGGCATCCACTCCTAAGGTCTGGCCGAAAGTGCTGAAGTCCACTGGCTTCAGCAACAAAAGGAACCCCAAAAGATCCCAAAAGAAACTCTTATCATCATGATTACATTATAGTATCATAGTGGGATTAAGATTATCATGATTATCAAATCCCCCAGTTATAATCATTATTGATGATAGGATATTAATCAAAGGATATTATCATAGTGATTACATGATCAGTGATGATCATATCCCCCAAATCCCACTGGATCATCATGACTCCATATTCAAATTGCCATGTGGTGGGAAGGAATCCCCCAAAGGAATCCAAAAAATCGTAGCCACCCAGGTGTCTCCTCAATCTGAGATGGTGTCCATGAGTGATGTGGGCGCCTGGCATTTCAATCACTACCGACAGGGTTCACGTTTTCACGTTGCCATGATCGTCATGATCCAACATCAGTCATGGCGAACCGTGGCCACTGGATGCTTCTTCACTCCATTGAGGTACTTGGCACCTGCAAATTGCACATATGCAACATCTGCAAAATCTGCGAATTCGCAGATCAATGGATGATCAGTTGATGATCAGTTGATGATCAGTTGATGACTTGAGAGGAACTGTTGAGTTATCTGAGGCTGCAACGGAAGGAATCGCCGAAGGGCTCTGGGCCAATTCGGGAGCCGTAGTTCTGGCCGGCAGCTCTGAAATACCACCGTTTCTTGCCACAAAAAGTCAGCTTTGATTTTAAAAAAATGCACTTTTGATACAAACAAACAAATTCTTCCGAATGCTCTTGTGAGCGCCAACTTAGAGCTCTGAAGTGGTCTCCTATTGGAGCTGGCAACCCCAAGGTTCAGAACATGCCATGCTATTCATGTGTCATCAGGTGTCAGTACACCAAAGCTCACTATGGCCCATCAAAGTGAATTTGATATGATCTGTGATTATTTTCAGATATATGATTTGATATCATGTGATTCCAATAGTTTCCATGTTGTCAATGGAATGGTTTAACGGAACATCTGTAGAAAACCCTAATCTTTACCACCCCAAAAATGGGGTGGTCTCAATGATAGTATCAATGCATTTTATAAATTGTTATTAATGTCATTGGATTGGTTTCAGGGAAAATCTTAACCGGAAACCCATGGGTTTTTACCATCAAATAAAGGGCTTTCCGGCCAAAATTTTCCCATCATATCAGTTATAGATGATTTTCCCATTAAAACCTCCATTTAGAAGGGATTTTCCATGGCTATGTTAAATAACCAGATGGTTATGTATGGTTTATAGGCCGATCCCCCTAGCCATAGGCCTCACACGCCCACTTTTTCACCTGGCGACTGGTTGGGTGCCTTCTTGGAGCATGCGACGCCACGAAGCATCGGAGCATTCTTTTGGGAGCCGACGCTCTTCACGTCCCTGGTGGAAATGCCATCGGAAAGCGCTGGGAAAACGCTGGCAAAATGATCAAAATCATGGCAAAATGATGGTCAGATGTTGTAAAATGTGGTGAATCTTTAGATGAAACAGTCAGGAAAATCATTAAAGAGTGGTCAGAGTTGGCCAAAGAGCCAAGAAATCAGCTTAGTTCATGTATCTTCGTGTTTATTTCATGATCTCTCCATCCAGATCTCTACACCCAAAGCCAAGATGTTGAAAATATGCTATGTATCTCACTATTAATAATAATGATATGTTATGTATCTCACTATATATCTCGCTATATCTCACTATATCTCACTGTATCTTTCTAACATGCAGGTCTTATACCCCCAACATACATCCCCACAGCCGCATCTCTGGGATTCCCGAACCGCAGCCGGTGTTCAGCCTGTCGGTCCATGATGAACCTGGGTGAATCATTTGAATCAACTGGAACCAGAACTGAATACTTACTGGTGCGTAAAACACGTAGGGAATGGATGGGACATGGGTTGCTGGGGCTGGGATTATGATTTATTGATAGTGTGGATCATTCTTTCGAAAATTCCCTACGTATAGCACGCACGTACCAGTCAGAATTCAGTTAAAATGCAAAAAAAAATGCAAAAAGAAACGTCTAAAGAAGCTACATTTCCCAAATGCTCTGCTAAACTTGGCAAACTTGGGCCGTGTTTTCTGGGCATCCAGCAGGGTCCGATCGACTTTGGGATGTCCCGTCCACACCTCGTGATCCACATCGGTGGTTCAAAACCCTACCCAGATGGTACCCTAAAATAGCTGGTAACCCCTGGTATAGGATGTTGATGGTACCAAATATATTGTTGATTAATGGTCAAGTTATTAATGGTATAGGATGTTGATTCCCCAAATATAGGAATTCCATTAATAACTTGACCCATCTTGACCCATCCCCATCAAATCCATGAGCTCCACTGCCTTGTGGTCCGTTTTTTTTCGTGAAGTCACTAAAATCATGTCAACCCTGGATGCTCATCAGCATCAGACCTGTTTGTTGAACTCCCCGGAGCTATTCTCCTGGCGTTGATCGGCGTTGAAAATAGGAAACAGCTTTGAAAATCAATGAAAATCCATGAAAACCAGCCAAATGTTGGGGCAAAATTTGGGAGCTGTGATGTTTCACGCTTTTTCCATTCAAAAACAGTTTTTTTTGGACATTGAGACCACTGAGTCAGCCATGACCTGGATGTGAGGAGGAATCGTCACGGTGCCAATAGAGCTGCGTCGTAAATGAACATATCGAGGCCTGGCGTTGTCCGAGCGATGATGTCAGATGTTGACATCAGACAACACATAAATATATATATATAATGTATATCTATATATATATATAATGTATATCTATATATATATATAATGTATATATATATATATTCTTTTTATTATATATATATATACACATCATGGCAACTATTAAAAATAAAACTCCTAGATCCCAGGCCCAAGTTGCCCAAGAATGATTGTTCAGGATGTCTGAGATGATGTTCTTTTCATATCACACTGCACAAATTGGAACAGATAAGCCCTGGACCCCGGTTCTTCCATGGCTCTCTTCAGAAAGGTCTGCTCCTGGAACCCATGGAACCCATGGAACCCATGGGACCCATGGGACCCCACAGGTTGACGATCTGCTTGGGATTTTTGTTAGCCAATGTCTTGTAGATCAATCATTTTGAAGAACATCCAATTTCATCCAATTTCTGCATGGCTCTGGCTATCAAGAAAAGTGGATTGATACCCTCTGGCTATCTAACATTGCCATAGATAGCCATGATCCATTGATGATTTGATGGTGAGATTTTGACTGATTCGGGACTCAGGACCTGCCTCAATCACATCCAGAGTAATTTCAGCAAAGTACCTGCGAAGCTGGAAACAAAAGTCATTCAACTGCTATGCCAAAATCGATGCCTCTCAAGTGTTGTCAAAAATCACATCAAAATACCACATGTTTGGCCACTAAAAATGTGAAACATGATGTTCCAAACCATGGACAAACATGATGATTTTGGGGCTCCACCACGGTCCAAAATCGCCCTGATCTTTGGCCACTTGGCAAAGAGTTCATCGCTGCCATCTGAAACCAGCAGTGCAGCCATGGCTTTTTGAGGTTTTTTTGGACCCAAAAAAGCCTCAAAAGATGATCTGATGTTAGTTACTGTGAAGTATTTCTGCTGTATTTGGTGTCCGAAAATATCTTCGACCTTTGCTGAGAGCCTCAATTTCATGAGAGGCACATCGGATCACATCGGCTAGGTCTCCAAAGCCTGTACGTACTGTACGTTTTTTTTTCAGGCGCTTCATCCAAATAACGTAATTCTCCTTGCAAGATCCCATGACTCACCACACCCCAAATTGTAAGCTGACTTTTTCCACAGTTCAACAGATCACGTCACGCTCATGAAACCCCACAAGTCTGAGAACCTGCATGGAAGCGGTGATGTCGATCGGAACTTGCCGTCACACATGGCCACGCGAAAAACATGGTATCAATCTGGGTTTGTCTGAAAATACCATGTTTAGGGTATATTCCCAATTATAGCCATTCAATAGGGATAATGATCATTAACCATTGGGTGTAGGGGTACACTATTTTCAGACACACCCATCTAAAGTCACTGTCAAACAAAGGCATTTTAACGGCGTTTGACATCGATTGGCCATGGCTCAAAATTTCTCGACCAACGTACCCACATTGTCGGTCATGCTTAGTACTACACCTGCAACATGTTGAGGGTAAATCATTTTGAATCACCAAGATCGCTTTACCATTATTTGTTCCCCACTAGAACTGCCATATTGGGGTACAAGTGGTATAATAAACTAATCAACTCAGTTCCGGAGAAACCCATATCTCCGTTGCATATATATATATATATATATGTATATATATTCACATCCCATTAAAACCCAGAGGTCTCAGATGTCCCATTTATATCCCGGTTTCTCAAGATTTTTCTCCATCATCGAATCCTCCGGAATCCTCCGAACGTCTCCGGGCCTTTTTGGGGACGATCTACACCGAGATGGAGTCGTTGGCCTTCGCCGATTCGTCTTTCTCTGGGCCGATGAGCATACGCCAGATATCACCCGCGGAAATGATTTGCCTGGACCGGGAGGGATGGTCACCTCCAAATGGCTGCAATTGGCTTATGGCCTATCTATATGCATGTATGTATATATATATATATATGTATATGGATGTATATGTAATTATATATACATGTGTGTGTGTGTGCGTGATGTTCCGAGCGCACTAAACCTCGATTTATCATGATTTATAGGGGATTTCCCTGGCCACGGTTGATAACCAAGTGGCATAAATAAGTTGTAAAGAATCAGATTTGAGGGATTCAAAAACATCAACTCGGTTAGTGGCTCAAGTTCATCCCAAACAGTTGGACAGCCCGGGGTCTCCCGAAAAATTGAACGGCCCCCATCATGCCAGTTGAAGGAGCTGGAAACCAATCGATTTTGAGGGTGCTTTATCCCAAGATCTCCCAAAGTTCAATGATACCCATTGGTTTGCGAATGGGCGTTTCCAACAAAGCCACGATTGGTCATCCCAAGAGCTCTAACCTATCCATTGTGAGCCCCAGGCGTCATATCGGATGTTCTTGCTAGCTTGCATTTGCATGTCATGTTTTCAATGATTCTGTCAGGATTATAGATTAATATACGTATGTTGATAGTGTTAAAAAGACATATCATCAACTAGTGATCAAAATAGTGATTCATATGTCAATGATTCTGTCAGGATCTGTGATTTCTTTTTTGGGATCCCACATGGGAAATTCAGAAATGGGATCGATCTCAACCCAAGTTGCCGGAGTTTGGGCATCTTGTCGCCACAGTCCTTCGATCGTTGGCTGATGGGAAATGATGGAAGATTGATGACAAACATGGGATTTATATGGATTTATCGCCATAAATGATGGGAAATATCATAGATCTATACAAAAATCATCCAAGTTTTATTTGTTCATGTTGATATGATCATTGGAATTCATTGGATATATATATATATACATATAACTCAAACAGATGGTTGCATGGTCATTCACAAAATATCTTTGTTATTGTAGGTTTGGACCCATCCCCAGTGCTCATAGACTGCCATGAAATGTCCTGTGGTCTCATGTGCTGACTTACGACCTTCACAACTGCCCTATCCACCAATATATGTACTATATAGATATGGAGGTTTCCTTAAATGGGGAAGTTGAAACACATGCCACATCTGTCCCTCCTAACAAACACCTGTCTGTCCAAAGCAGCATGCTTTCCCTTTTGCTCAGCACTGCATCGTCGGAAGTTCGCGGAGGGTTCCATGGCAATTGAATTGGCACAAGTTGATCGGAACGATCTGCCTAAAAGGCGGTTGTAGAGACATGTCCTTGAGTGACAAAGGGCGGCGAGAAGTTGATACCTGGCAGGAGGTCACAAGGGCATGTACCATTCGACTCAGGTTGGCTTGTCACTGCAGATTTTCTGCTGCGTTGTTGATTTCATCCAGCTTGGAGTTGGCAACATATCAAGTCTTGGACTTGGTCCTTGCTTCAACGTGCTGTTTGAACTCGTGCAAGATCTTCCACTGACCATGCACACAAGCGTTCCTGATTGGATCACGTGCCACACTTCCTTTATTCAATCCATCGCTCAGCATATCAAGCGTATCTATCCAGCAAAGGCGGCTGGCGACACGCATAGCAAGGATCTCCTTTAGCTTAAGAGCATGCACAAGCATCAACTTATCTGTAGTGGTTTTGGTGTCTGTTGCAACTATGCAATCGAACACTGCTCGTGCATCCAAGAAAAGATCACTTTCTAACGCATTGGTTCCAGTCTCTTGGATATCAGCCATCATGCTAGCTGATTTGCTACCGGTCAGAACTTCTGTCATAGCAAGGTTGATCGTATTGGCAAGGGCAACCAAATCAAGAGCCGCATAAAGTTCAGCTGTGAAAGTACTGCGGCAAACTCTGCTTTGTTTCTTTGAAACAAACTCCAAGATTTGGATCGGATTGTTTCCGATCTTGGGACCATCTTTATCACCTAAGGCTATGATTCCACTTCTCATGGCGAGACCATCATTCTCTTCAGCTTTGAAACTACTATCAGATATAACATACATCCTCCATGGATTGTTCACCTTATGATAGTACAACTTCATTGGCTTTCGTTTCAAATACGCAAGCACACGATTTAAATTGGCAACATCACGGCCAGTGGGTGATTGGAGCTTGCGCTGAAGAGCAGCTGTGAACACAGCTATGTCTGGTCTGGTCTGAACTGTCCAGGCTATTCCACCAAGAAGTGACATGAACTGACTTTTGAGATCATCATTAACTGGTTCATCCTTTGGGCTGTTTGTTTCAGCTATGAAGCGAAGTTCATTCACATAGTGTTCTTGGCTAACACTACGTGAACCATTTGGTTCAAGGACATGACGGAGTCCAAGGTGCTCAAAGTTATCTTTTTCTACTTTAAGTTCATCAAAGTGTTCTGTCAAAACTTTAAGCACTAGGTTCAGCTGATCTTCTTCGCCTGTCATTTTCAAGTCATCGACATGAACTGAAAGAACGAGAACAAGGCGTTCTCCTGAGTGTTTGACAAACAACTGTCTGTCTGTTTGTACTGCCTTCAGACCACACTTATCAAGAACCTTTTGGAGGGCTAGGTCCCAGAGACGTGGCGCGTCCTTCAGTCCAAAACCTGGTTTTAACAGCGAAAGGCATTCACTGGTCGGATCATAGTTCTCCATTCCAGGAAACGTTCGGAGAAGCTCTTCTGATCCTACTGGCAAAGCTATCTCCACAACACGGAGAGGTTGTGAAGTATCCATTTGGGCCAGTTCTTGGAAAGTGATGCCGCGAAGAAAGGCTTCGCTGACGTCTGCTGAAATCAAAGGCCACCCAAACTGGGTTGATATGGCTAAAACAATCCTCTGTCCCCAACGTGAAGTGGTTCCTGCAAACGTGCTCAGGCTCTGTCGGTCTTGGAAACCCTGAGCTACAAGACGACCCTTCACATCTTTCTTTCCTGCAATGTTCTTCCATTTCAAGACCCATTTAGATTTTAAAAGATTGCGGCTGTTGGAAAGTGACATTCGGCGCCATGCGTTGTGCTTGATCCAACGATTCAATTCCTTCAACATGGCAGCTCGGCAGGCTTCAACATTTTCCAAAGCTTCACTGCGGGTTAAGACATTATGGGTCCTTTCAATTACAGGAACATTGGGACTAACATTATTGGGATTACTGTGATATTGGAAAACTGGATAGTCGAGCCCAGCTTCATCGAGTGCAATGCTGGGTGTAACAAGATACTGGGACACCTTTCTATCCAATCCTAGTTCGGCTGGTTGGTCATCATCAGCATACGCAAAGATTTCTTCGTTGTGGTGGTTGCAACATGGCCAGATTGGTGGACTGGCTGCACAAGTCCAACCTACATGGATGTCGGGATCTGCGTTTTCACCTTCATCTGGCAACAAGTCAATTTCTGAACCATCAAGGCTTTGGGATGTTGGAACAACATCTGGATTAGTTGATGGCTCATTTTGTGTTGAAGAAACATTGACATCAGGCTGCTGCTCATTCGGATTATCTACTTCGGGTTTATCTGTTAAGGACTTAAACTTAGGTCTATTGGTCTTGGGATTAAATAGGGGAACTTCGCGGATCAGTGGCATGCGAGGCTCATACACGCCACCGATATTTGCGATGTCAGAATTAATCTTTCTCAAGTGCGAAATGGCAACGCCATCCTCCATTAGGAATTGGATGAATGCGACATTTTCACTACCACCTAAGTTGTGCAAGTTTATGGTTTTGCTTCCATCAGTGAAAGCGTGGCACCAGTTGTGGAATTCACCGGGCTTCCACCAGCATACAAGTGTTTCATCGCAGTAGAGACCTGAGATGGTCTTCATGCCATGGCCGAATCGCAAGCTAAAGACACCTATGAGTTGCAAATTGACAGCTCCAACGTGAAGTCCTGCATGTAAGACTTCAGAGTACTCTTTGTTGCCCTCACATGGCAACCATCGATCATTCTTACGGAACCATCCAACTCTCATGCAACCCTTGAAAGATTCTGCAGCAACTTTCAAAACTTCAATTGGTGAATTGGCACCACCAAAGAATGCAGGTGCATATGCGAATGCCAAGGCTCTGCGTGCATCTTGTACGCGGACTTGAAGATTTCTGCCCTGCCACCTCACACCGATAATTCCATCAGTGAGTGCAGTCAAATCGGTTATGGATGCAGGGCCGTGCCAACGGGGCACGTCTTTGGAAATGGTTGGGCGATAAATATCCACAAGATCACCAACTTGCATGTCCTTCAACTCTCCAGCTGGTCTGGATTTCGTGGCATTTGCTCTGCGGATGCGATCCTCTGCTGAGGCTTGGATCATGGCTTGCACGGCTATGGATCGGAGTCGGGCGGGATGTTCCCGCTCCTGATCATCTTCTGCAGTCATCACATCGAGCATTGGTGGAGTACGGCCGAACAAGGCCTCATAAGGAGAGTATCCTCCGTACTGCAGCAACACATTCTTGGAAAACACAGCTTCATTAAGAACTTGGGTAAATGAAACACGAAGTCCATCCCTAGTAGCTTGCTGATCCATCAGGTGAATTTGACGTCTGAGGATTTCATTGTGTCTTTCTACCACTGGAGCATGTTGGCTTTTAGCCTTTAAATGAAGCTTAATATTCAGTTGTTCAAGCACTGCTGCAGCCACTTCATTAAGTCCACCTTCTTGATCGGATATCAATTCTGCAGGGGATCCATATTGATTGATCCATCCATCACGAATACCATTCAGGATTGAGGGTGTTGTTCGGTCAGGGATTTCAACACCAACACTCCAGCGAATGCATCTGTCAATCATGTGCAAGATTACATGAGTACCAACAAACAGCAGGTCAAGTTCGACTTCAAGGTTAAAACGTTCAGGCAGTCTCGTGGAAGTGACTGATCTGTTCCCAGGGCGACTCCAGTTGCGACAAATGTCACATGTGGCAACAACATCTGCAACTTGAGCAACAACTTCAACAGGTACACCTGCAGCGGTGAGCAGGGTGCTCATACGTCTTGCAGGGGCATGGTACCAACGGATGTGCAACTTACGAAGTGCCCTACGAACTACTCCAGGTCTGGATGACCTCAAGAGCTGCAATGACGTTCCAAGATCGAACCTCGACCACACTGGTTCTTCAAGAACAGGTTGGATTGCTTCAGCATCGGCTGCATTGGGAGCAACTGGTCCTCCATCTTCAATGGCTAAGGGCTGTGCTGCACGTTCGACAAGGTCAGGATCTGAACCGGCCTGAACTTCTGCACTGGCTTTCATGCGGCGTCTGGCTGACGCTTCTGCAGGAGTCAAAACTTCAGGTTCTATGCTATCATGTCCTACTGCTCCTTCGGCTGGAGCTGCTTCTTCACGCAATCGAACTGCAGCTGTTGGATCTCTGGCAGCTGGAACACTGCCATCTCTTGGGTGGCGTCCTCTTCGGGCTCGAGGACCACCATCATCTCTAGTTCTGGCAATTGCCCATCTGCAGTCTGGGCCAAGTGTGTGGGATGGATCGGATCGATGTCTATTGCGGCGACATCCATCACAAGTCCATTCCATCGCAGGCTCATCTTTGAAGCGACAGTTCTCGTCGCGTGTGTGTCTAGTATCGTCCCTGCGAACATGACCTCTGCAGCCTGGGCAAGTGAAAGTTGGAAATTGCAAAGTGGCTTGGCTGCTGTCAAAAGAACTACACAACAAATCGGCAATGCCTCTGGCAAGGCTTCGGCACAAACTGATAGGCCAGTTTTCGGCACTTGATTTGACCTTTC